GTTTTGGTCCCTGCTGCATGTCAGTGTATGAAGTCGATGACGATGAGGAATGATGAATGGCCTTTGGACAAGGCACTAGTTTGTGTGAAATAAATAATGTTAATGTAATATTATCTAGCTACTATGGTTGTATGACACTTATGGTTATGTAAGTTTGAAACAACTGGTTTGTAATATTAAACTTAAGTCTTCCGCTTATTTACCTCTGGTATGTATATTGAAAAATGTTGTAATCTGCAATGACTGTGATTGGGATCCTGTTTGAAACGTGGATGATTTGGGTTTTCCGAGGACACCCGACAGACCTGTTAAGTTGTTGGGAACTTGTGTACGCTATCTGAGGTCTGTTGAGACATCGATAGGTGCACGTGGGCCCGATTTCTTAGGAGGTTCTGCCACACTTCTCCTCCCCTTTCTATCTCAGCACCGTAGGCGAGCAGCGGCGGTCGCCCATGGTGGCGGGAGGAAAAGGTGGCGGCACCACCACTGGCCCCGTCGCCGGCACGTGCGTTCGCCCAAGGGTGAGTGCGCCACCATCGAGCGGCCTTACGGTGGTGTCATGAGCCTGAGCCTGCGTGGCTCGGCTCATTCTCCTGCGTGATGGTGGGATCTTCTTCCCACACGATGGCAGTGGCGACGGCGGCAAGGGAACCCAGGTAGGCCTCCCCTCTCCGTCCTTTCTACTAGAATTAGGGTTAGGGTTTGATCTGATTCGAATCATCTCCTTCTTCATTCTATTCAATTTCTTCCCCACACTAGATCTACATGCTAGGTAGGCTAACCAATACCATTGTTAGAACTGAGGATCACTTAGTTGCAAATCTAGCGGGTAAAACAAGTAGATCGTGCTACGACATGAACTAGAAAGAGAGAGGGGTGTAGAGTGTAACGACCCAAAAATCATTACAATGTAGGCAGTCATTTCTGACCATCCTAGTGTGCATGTCATAATCGAAATTAGAATCTGACTTGTGCCTAGGCCAACCCAAAACCGAGCACTGCCAGTTTTGGCAGATCATCCGATATCACCATCGGATCGTCCGTCAAGACATCTCACAGACTTAGGATAATCTTGGCTAACCCGTGCACTGACGGAGTGTCCATGGTATCTCGTGGAGTGTCCAATGAATTATAGAGGACAGTAACCTAGCAACCCGAGAGTGACCAGTTCATACCAGAGCATCCATCACTCATAGTGGAGTGTCCATCAAAACCGTAGCATACTCAGCCAGTCTATCGGAGAATCCACCGCACCTGACGGATTGTCCGATAAAACACACCGACACCTGTCTCATGCAGTTTGATGCAGTGTCACACACACACCACATGGCCCCACCTGTCACTCACACAACTCACAAATATCTACCCTCCCCACCAGCCCTCTCCCTCATTCCCTCTCGCACTCACGCACAAGCACCAGAGAAAGGAAATGAAGAAGAGACGAAGAAGGGAAGGGAGGAAGAGGAGGAAGAAGAAGGAGAGGAAGAGGAGGATGGCGCCCACCAGCTTCTAGAGGTCGTCACCGGCGAGCTGCTGCTTCCCCACGCCGTCAACCTCACTGGAGATGGAGGCAGCCCCAAGCTTCATCTTCTTCAAGCTCAAGCCATGGAGCAAGCCCGACGTCGATCTCCCACCACGAGGCGTTCCGGTCCGAACTGCTGTAGATGGAGCTTCCCCAAGACATTGTGAGCACATTCCCTAGGACCCAACCACCCATGGCGATACCCATGAGCTTCACCTTCATCCATGGCCACCACCACCATGGATGGGGTCTAGCTCAACACACACTATGCATGTCACATCCAACACCTGTAGAAGGTTTCCCACATCACTAGAAACCCATAGAAACAAATCGCACTCGATTCGGAGTCTGGATGCCCCGAGAATCGATCCCAACATGTTGGCACAGCTATTGTTCGTCATTTATCGGATGGTCCATCATTTTGGCAGAGTGTCCATTGAATTATAGCCAAAACCCAAGAGCAGCTTGTGTTTATCGGACGTTCCGATCTTAGTTCGGAGTGTCCTATAATCTCTACACCTGCGCACAGCCTACACTTGTAAAATCCATAGAAGGTGCATTTGACCTCCAAAAATGGTGAAACGAGTTTCATTGTGCTCCATAGAATGTCCTCTATCAGCTAGACATAACTTTTGCACCAAAGGGCATATCTCATTTTTGACCACCGGAGGAGGCTAAGCCCTTATAATTCACCTGAGGCTCCGCCACACGCACTGGAGTGTCCGATGAATTATAAATCACAGACAGAGAGTTACCCAAGAGCATAGACTCCTTTTTTGACCACCCAAGAGCATAGACAGAGAGTTACCCGGCTGTTATAATGATAAATACCTTTACTTCTATGTTGAGCATAGCATGTCATATTCTTAATGAACATCATTGCTTTCTGCACTTATACAAAATACCTGATAATCACTCTATGCATCCACCAAATATTATATGTTGGAATTAACAGCCTATTCGGTTGGCTGGTTCGTATCGTTGCTGGTTCGTGAAGAAGTACTGCTGGTTGGTTTGTGTGAGAAAAATACTGTTCCAGCTGAAAATTTATGATCGTTTACGACAAGCCACAGCCAAACGAACATGCTCTAAGTCCTGCGAGTACGCAATGCACTCACGGTGCTGCTGTTAAGTTGTTTTGCAAGTAAAGGACATTGGTGGCCATCTCACCCCGTTCGGTGGCAAAGTGGGTGAATGGCAGGAGCCGTCCAGATTATGGTGGCACACCCATGGGCAAGGCGACCACTAGTTATTAGCTATATGAGTGATCCGTAGCATAGCGATGTTGTTAAGAGAGTCGTTTGGTTCACACTACATTTAGTCTTACGTTGTATAATTGATTGATTATATTCAACAAGACTTCGAATATATGCTTCCACTGAATTATTATGTGCTCCGATGATGAGATGTGATCTTGAGTGGTGGAGGCTGTTGTGGTATGATACTCAACCTGATCCTGAAGAGGAGTTGCTACGTGCGCTCCTGGGGAGTCACCGATGTTGGTTTGCTTAAATTGGGTTAGTCAAGTGGATGACACTCGATTTAGGCGAATTAACATGGCGGGTCCCCACACAGAGGGTCAGAAGTCGCTGACCATCGGGCATGGTGGAGGAGGAAGCCATGGCGACAGTGTCCAATGACGGCGGCATCCCATGGTGAAGTCCGGTGACGGCGGCGGGTGTCGAGGACAGTGGCGGTGGAGCTTCCCATCGCTGTCAGCGCCTTCCTCTAGATCGGTTAGGGTTTGTAGGTGGGTACTGTGGGCGACGACGAACCTCGTAGCTCGAGCCCCCAGCCCCCACCTCCTTTATATAGCGCTACGTGACGGAGGCCCACCAGCCAAGTGTATGGCTGGGCGCCCCCGATCAGGACGCGGGATCCTGACTCGGTCGTTGGTCCGAGTCGGAGGAGATCAACCTAACAGAGACATCTCCAAGACTACACACAGTGATGCTACGATAGAGTGAGCTCAATCTCAGAACATCCGTCCACCAAAAGGATAAAGGAGGACTTGGAATACAGTAGATGAGCATATAACAAAGGGAGAATTATGTATTTGGCACTGAAACAAATCAGTCTTCCGCATTTGGCACTAAAAATTTTGAACTTTCTTATTTGGCACCAAGTTGAAATTTCCTTCCCTAGACTGCACTACCGTCCATTTGGGCTAGTAACGGCGTCAAGTGGCTGGTAAAATGACATGAATGACCTTCTTTGTAGCAGAAATACATGATGCCAAATAGGGAAATAATAGATGGACATATGGTCAAATAAGAAAATTATAAATATCATAAATATATTGTGAACTAAAACATGGGATTTTGATAATCGAAGTCTGCAAATAAATAAATAATAAATTTCAAATTCGGCAAGAGCAGATCACGAGAGAGCAATGGCCGATGCAGCGGCAAGGGGAGGGCGATGAGGTGCGCCAGGCACCCGTACGAGGGCGGCGTGGGCATCCGCGCGCCGTGCCTTCGCGATCGCCTGCTCGCGCTCGCCGCCGCGCAGAACGCGACGTCCTCGCTGCCCCCGCCCCTACCCCCACCGGAGCTCGAGCCAGAGCCGATGTTCCCGAGGTCGGTGTCGTCGTCGTACGTGTGCCGCAGCCGCAAGTCCGACGCGTTGTCGGCGCCGCAGGGGCGCCTGCCGGGCAGCCTTCTCTTCTTCCGAACGCCGCAGGTCAGCCCCGCGTACGTCGCCGGGAGCAGCAGCCGGGTTCGAGGATGGCGACATCGGGTTGTTCCGGAGGTGGCGCAGCAGGTTCTCCGTGCTCGCCGTGCTCTTCGGCCACAGTCCGGACGACAGCAGATGCGGCGACAAGAAGCGGAGGTACAGGTCCTCCAACTGGCTCACGGGGATCGTGCCGCACGCCGCCCGCGGGAGGAGGAAGGACAAGGAGACCGCTCTGCCGCCGCCGTCCCCGCTACGGTGCTCGTGCCGCGGGGTCAGCGATCGGGGGCCCTCGCCGGTGAGGTACTACGCCAACGGGGACGGCGAGGAGAGCAACTCACCGGCGGAGTCGCCGTGGCTACCTTCGCCGTCGCCGATGCGGAAAACCCCGTGCCATCGCCGCCTAGGACTAGGACTGGGACTGGGAGCGCCCGGGGCCGGCGTCTCGGGGAGACAGGAGCGCTCGGCCGCTCGGGAAGTCCAGGAGAAATTGGATGCGTGAGTAACAGAGGGTATGTTGGTCACACTAACAAAAAAAACTGACACGGTCAAAAAAAGTCAACTAACAGATGAATGTATGAAATGGACGGTAGTGCCATATAGGAAAGAAAATTTTAACTTGGTGCCAGATAAGAAAGTTCAAATTTTTAAGTGACAAATACGAAATACTAATTTGTTTCAGTGCCAAATACATAATTCTGTCTATAACAAATCCATTAACTCAGTAAACTGTATTTTTTACAATAAAAATAATAAATTAGTTCAATTAAAAAAACATTATTGTGTCCTCATCCTAGTATAATGCTTAGAATAATTTCCTCCTTGTTGCTAAGATCTGACGTAGCGGCCGCTCAGGCACGGGGATGAACTTGACGGCCCATCCAATGGGCCACGACATCGCGGCAATGGCGACACAGACACCCCACTGGGGCAAGCCAAGCCTCTGGGTGCCGGCAAACCTCGTGAGCAGCTCCACCATGAGCACCTGCATGGCGATCGTCACGGCGATGATGCCCAGGAACATCTTGTTGCGGAGCACGCCAGCGAAGACGTTCCTCCGCTCGATCTCCCGCGCGTTGAACTCGTTGAACACCTGGCAGAGCACGAAGGCGTTGAAGATCATGGTGCCGTTGGCCTTCTCGCTGACGCCGAAGATCTCCCGGCCGCGGTACTGCAGCGCCAGGAGGACGGCGACCTGGAACGCCGCCTGCGCGGCGAGGTTGCGCCACATGGCGTTGCTGATGAGCGGCGCCGTGCGGCCGATGGGCGGGCGGCGCATGAGCCCCTTGGTGGGCGTGTCTGTCGCCAGCGCCAGCGCGCCCATGGTGTCCATGATCAGGTTCACCCACAGCAGCTGCACGGTGGACAGCGGCATCTTGCCAGAGGTTAACGCCGACACGAAGTTGATGATGAGCGCGGCGACGTTGACGGTGAGCTGGAACTGGATGAACTTCTGGATGTTGTTGAAGACGCAGCGGCCCCACCGGGTGGCCGTCACCACCGTGTCGAAGTTGTCGTTCATGATGACGATGTCGGAGCTCTCCTTGGCGACTTCGGTGCCCTGGATGCCCATGGACAGGCCCACGTCGGCCTCCTTGAGCGCCGGCGCGTCGTTGGTCCCGTCGCCGGTGACCGCGACCACGTGGCCCCTTTGCTTCAGGCGCTGCACCAGCACCAGCTTGTCCATGGGCAAAGACCGCGCCATGACGCGGATGCGGTCCACGATGTCCAGCTGCTCCTGCGGCGACATGGCGCGGAACTCTTGCCCCTCGATCACAATGGCGTCACGGTCGCTGTTCGAGATGATTCCGCACTCCATGGCGATGGCACGGGCCGTGAGGATGTTGTCGCCCGTGACCATCTTCACCGCGACGCCCGCCTTGGTGCAGGCCTCAATGGCAGTCCTGACCTCTGGCCGGCAGGGGTCCTTCAGGCCGACGAAGCCGAGCAGTGTCAGCCCTTCGTCGTCGATCTTGGAGTCCTCACCGTCGACATGCTTGTAGGCGAAGGCGATACACCGGAGGCTGGCGGCCGCCATCTCACTGATGATCTCTTCGAGCTTCCTCCTCTTCCCCGCCTCGAGTTCGCGTGCCGCGCCGTCTGAACCGACATACGCTGAGCAGCTCGCCAAAACCATCTCCGCGGCGCCTTTCCAGTGCGCGGTCACCGCGCCAGTCGCGTTGTCCATGATCATCACGCCGCTGCGCTTCTTGTCGGAGTTGAACGCCTCGACGTGCAACACCTTGCAGCTCCTCTTCAGCGCGTCGGCGTCCATGCTGAGCTCCTCCACGGCCCAGGACAGCAGAGCCTTCTCCGTCGGGCTGCCCGATATCTCCGGCGGCGAGGCGTTGTTCGGCTTGTACACGCTTCCGGTGGTGTTGAGCCCAGCTCCCTGGTGCAGCAAGCTGACGACGGTGCCGGTGATCTCCTTGGGTCGGTGGTCGGTGCCGACCCAGAACTCCGTCACCTTCATCTGATTCAGCGTGAGAGTGCCCGTCTTGTCGGTGCAAATGGCGGTTACCGAGCCCATGGTCTCGCACGCCGAGAGCGTGCGCACCAGCGCGTGCTCCTTGACCATCCGCTTCATGGAGAAGGCGAGCGTCAGCGTGACCGCGAGCGGGAGGCCCTCGGGAATCGCCACCACGATGATGGTGATGGCCTGCTGGAAGATGCCAACGAGCGCGGTGAAGACGCTGTTGAAGGTGACGTGCTGCCTGTCGAACGTCGGCTTGCCCTGCTCGTCCCTGGTGCTTCCCGTGAAGTGCCGCGCGGTGAGCACGGCGAAGACGAGCACCGCGACGGCGATCCCGACCTTGCCGATGCTGGAGGTAAGGCCCTCGAGGCGCTCCTGGAGCGGCGTCGGCTCGGTCTTCTCCCTGGTGATGCTGCCCATCATCTCGCCCCAGGTGGTGTCCGTGCCGACGGCGGTGACGAGCATGTGTCCGTATCCATCGATGACCTTGACGCCGGAGGCGAGGAAGGGGCTCTTCTCGGCGTCGACGTCAACAGGGTGCGGCTCGCCGGTCGTGCTGGACTCGTCCACCTGCAGCGCGTGGCCCTGAAAGAAGACGCCGTCCGCAGGCACGACGTCGCCGATGTTGAGCACCACGACGTCTCCCACGACGACGTCGAAGATGGAGACCTCCTGCCTCCTGCCGCCGCGCACGACGGCGACGGCGATGTTGTCGGACTCGGTGGCGAGCCTGTCGAAGCGCCTGGCCTGGCCGTGGTTGCTGATCGCTGACACGGCGGCGACGAGGAAGACGGCGAGGAAGATGCTGACGCCGTCGTACCAGCCGTCCTTGAGGCCGTGCTCCTTGATGCCGAAGCCCAGCGAGACGGCGGCGCAGACGAGCAGCACGAGGAGGAAGACGTCGTTGAGCGCGTCCCACACGTGGGTCCAGAACCCCTTGGGCTTCCTCCGCGGGTACGTGTTCCCTCCGAAGGCCTCCCGGCGGCGCCGCACGTCGCTGTCGTCGCCGCGGATGCCGGCCTCCGCGTCCGACGCCAGCGCGGACGCGATCCCGGCGGCGCCGCCCAGGCGGCGGAAGGAGTCGTGGCGCTTGTCCTTGACCAGGCGCCTGAAGCCCTCGTCGTCCGCGGCGACAGAGAACTCCGCCGGCGCGGCGTAAGCGTCGCCGTACCGCGACGTGCTGGCGGCGGCGGCGGCGCCGGTGTCGCAGTCGCCGTCGGTCTCGTCGTGGATCTTGATTTCGACGTAGGAGCCGGTCCGTCGCAGGATGGCCCGGGAGAGAGTGAGGCGGGCCAGCCTGTGGCACGTCCGGATGACGTTGGTGGCCTTCCTCCATTGCTTCGTCCACCGCAGCGGGTCCGCCACCGTCGCCATTCTGCCCACCTCGATCAGGTAGTCAGCGCACTCCATTTGTGCAGAGGAATGAAGACGAGCCTCCACCGAAAGAGGAAGGTGAGCACAAGCAGGCAACTCCGATTTGTCCAGAAAACCCGATTGAAAAAAAAAGGAAGGCAGCGATGAATCGGTGAATCGATCCAACCCACGTGAATGCAGAGTGTGCGGGTCAAGGAGAGACGATGCGACGCCTGTGAAGATGATGGCGACCGTGGTTCTTTGAGCTCACGGGTTCCTGTTCGCTTGCTACAAGCCTTACTTTTTTTTTAAGCTAACGAATAGTATTTTTCTTTCACAATAAATCAGTCAATACTATTTGAGCTGGATTGAAACAGCTGCTGGTATTCTGGAGGAGGAAGATGTCACGTCTTATAAGGGGGTCGGGTTTGCTTCCTTCCCTCTTAAGTCTTAAGTCCCAAACGGTCGGGGAAGCTGCCATGAAGCCCGCCACAGCTATTTTGAGGCGGTGGTTTTCATTCCGTTTATGAAGGCATCGAGCCGTTTTCCCATGATAACAAGGTATAACCGCAAGGACGCTGGAAGCTGCAGGGAAAGTTCTAACTCTAATAAAGCTTTGTGAATTGTGAAGGAGCGAGATAATTCCAGCTGAACTTTGCCGAAATTTGTATGCACTTATGTAGAGTTGAAGATGATGCAGAGGTCACGTTGGCCGTTGGCGTCGAGGCTGCCAACACATCCGGATTGGAGCAAGTACATACAGGGAAACCAACTCTGATCACCAAAGCCGCTGGTTGCTCCTGCTAACTGCCGGGGGTTGCGCCGCCGTTCGAGTTCGACGGCGGCGGAGCGGCCCGGTCAGCTAACTTGCGGGGGCCTAGGCGCCTAGGCCTGCACGCGCGCTGTTGCCAGGCTGCTGTCTACGGACGTACGTGCGACAGTGTCATCTGTGTGGCATGGCAGCGTGCCCATCGGCGTCCGTCCAGCCGGCCCGCGGAGTACGCGACACGATGGCGCGCACGTCCATGGCCGGCAACCGGCCAAACGAGCTGTATAATTTGCTAATTAATTTGCCGTCACGACTTATTCGCCGATGATGTTTTGTTAACACCAAAGTATCTACACGACCGTGCAACATCAAAGTCCAACCGAACACGAAAACATTTGAAATGACATTGATCGCCGGACTTTAAATTCCATCGGTTTAAAAATGAACTCGAACACGTTATCCATACATGAAAGGGTACCTGCACATAGGTCGTCATAGTTAACAAAAAATTTGCTTCAATTCAAAGTATAGCCTGCGCAAGCATCTATTTACGCGGTTAGAGCGACATATATGATGATTAAGTAGCTTTGTTTCAAATGAATAGGACATTTTCAATTTTGTTTCAAGTGTCTTGTCGCTCTTCGCATGCACAATTATAGTAGGTTTTAAAATATTTATTACTATTAGCATATACTCTGTGGGTTTAGTAGGAATTTCCGGCATATCTCCGCGATTTACTCCGTGGGTTTAGAACGCGTTTGGTTCGCGGCCGCATATTCCACACCACAGTTTCGATAGCCGTTTGGTTGGGTGCCACACTTGCCGCGTGCCGCGGTGTGACCACAAGGCCAATAGTTCATTTCCCACGTCCCACCTTGCCAAAAGCGCGGCGAGCAAAACGGCCGCAGCAGTCTTCGCGTCGCCCTTGCCGCGGTTCTGCGAGCTTGGACGCAGTCCAAACAGGCCCTTATACTCTCGAGGTAGTACTGCTGTACTAGCATAGCTAGTAGCAGGCAATTCCACAGGTATGGACCCGAAGGACTCCTGTATGTTCCCAAAAGACTGAATGTGCATGTGCTGCTTGCAACAGATGAGAGAGACCTGGATACACGACATTGACCGTGGTGTGAACATCTCGCGCACGCCCACGTGGACGTGGCTATCTATTTACGACGGCTCCTTGGCCACCGCCAGCGAGCAGCGTCGACATGCGACACGCACCCGCGGCAAAACTCCGCCGCAGTGCGCGTGGGATTCGACGTTGCAGCCGTATGCGTACACATTATATATTACTTATATACTACAGCGAGTTAGGTCGACGGCGGCGCGCGCGTCTTCGGCTTTTGCCGACGTTGTACGGCGGTGCTAATGCTTTTGCTTCGGCTTTTAAGGAATCTGGCTGGCCAAGGAAGCCACGTACTGTACTACCCTGCAGGGAAAGATCACAGCCTGACATGCTGCTGCGTCATGACGCGGTTTATCGTCGTTGACGCGTTTCTCCCATCCCCCGAGCTTTTGGGACGTGGCCCCACGACGTGACAGCCACGTAGAGCAACCTGAGTCGGAAAACACAACGGACCTGTTTGTTTATCTGCACTGAGCAGCCTGAACCCTGAACGGACGAGCAGAACCTAGGTATTCTCATATAGCCTAGATTGGTGCAGCTCCTTTCTATTTGGTGGACTTGTCTGTTGGGGCCTGGTCTACACATATATTTGTTTGCCTACACTGCGCTTGAGGGCCCACACGTCAGCCACACTCACCAACCACCTACGCATGCATCAAAGCCCGAGCGAGCCGCGCTCGGGAGAAACGAGCTTCACTTTCATTTCCTCCCGGCCTGGCCTAAGGGCGATTTGGGTTCTGTGCTGCACAGGCTCCAACAAAGTCTAGATAAACAAACAAGTGATGTTGCACCTCTAGAGCTCGTCCCTGGCTGCCATCTAGGCAAACAAACACGCCAAACATGTTTACTTGCCCGATTTTCTTTCTTTCCTTCCTTTTTATTAGCATAAAATGTTACTTCTAAATTACACTAGCGCACTCTGTACTCAAGTGATCAACCTAGAACAGAGGAAGATGATCTGCTTCACAACCGAAGCACCTCATACCAATGGTTTTGCTAATACTTATGTATTTCCTTGACATAATATTCCTGTATCGATGATTCGTATTGCAAATGTTTTTTTACCTTCAATGTTCTTTTAATCAACCTTATATCTTAGATTTGTCTTAAGTCGTTTAAGGTCTGTCTTGAAATAAATTTCACTAAATTTTGCCAAATTTATAAAAATAGCACACATCCACAACATCAAACTAAATGCATTAGATACACTATATGATATATTTTGATAGTATATTTATTTAGTACTGGAAATTTTGAATATTTTCCTGTAAAACTTGGTTAAAACTAGTTTAATCATTTAAGAAAACAACTAAGATGAACTCGATTTGGACGGAGGAAATGTGTGTTATTAATTCATGGTATACTTTTAGGAACTAGATGGTTCTAAGATTACTTGTTGCATTATATAGTATCTTCTATCTTAATACTTAATTTTGCTTCAAGATCAAAAGTATCTTGCGAAAAGTTCTAGTATTTCTATAGATCATTACTTTTTCATGACAATCCACTCTTTGAAAATGATGAGGCGGTGCCGCGTGTGTTTCGATGGCTTAAGCGTATGACGAGGTGACGTGTGTGTGACATTGTGACCCGACTGTCAGCGAGTGGCCGGTTGGCCACGGTGGCGGGTCAAGCTAAGGAAACCGAACAGCTGCTCTATCGGATTCGGGTTGCCGCGTTTGAATGCGCTTTTTGGTCCTCAACCTACTCTTTGCCTTTCTGGGAAGAATGATGTGACGTGACAACCGTTATAAAACAGGTCGCCAGCGGTCAGGACATTTTTCTCTCCATCTCTCATAATCAACATAATAGATGAAAGTAAAACACATAGAGATAGGGAGACTATTCTTTATTTCTCTTAATATTGATAATTACAACATAAAGCTCCCACATATATATAGTCCTATTAAGGTCTAAGAGTTTGGTAAGAGCCCACATACAAACGGTTCCTCCTCCTTACCTTCTAGGATAGAGTCCGTATGTTTTACAACACTCCCCCTTGGGCGATTACCACGATATGCATATGCCTCGTTAAAAACTCCATCCGAAAATCCAGTGGGGGAAAACGGTTCTTGGAGAAAAAAGTACATCGCATTCGTTAATTGCATTGCAGTCTCATTAAAAACCTTTTGGGAGAAATCTTCAAGTAAAAACTCACATAGGGAAAAAGAGTACAATATTTAACCTTCTTGGTCATGTATTCTTCATGATATTCTATTATTAATGAATAGATATTTATCTTCATGATCTATGCATAAACTTCAATGTTTTATCAAATATGATCTACTTGATCTTTGTAATTCTAATGGTTTTAATTACCTTCAAGGTAGATTCACTCAAATTGCTCCCCCTCGTAAAGTCATCCTTTGAACTTTATTGCTCAGACCACACCTTTCATAAATATGTGCTTAATAATGGTATGCAGTACCATAATACTATATCTTTCAAAATGTTGGATTATCATTCTTCAATGAATTATAATATGAGTAAACAAGAGCAATATGCTTCATGCATAGATAACCACTTATTAGTTGTGCAAAACAAATAAAATTTATCCTTCAGGGTAATAAATCATTTCAGAGAATTATGGGATAAATAAGTTACATTCAATATCTTCAAGATAGTGTATCAAGCTTATATTAGAGTTTGAATACTTATAATTCTTTCTTAGTGGATTTTTAATTATATGTTCTACAAATCTTCAGGATTTTGATTGTACCACTAAATAATAAATTCAGTCTTGTATTTGGTATTTAGGGGATAATTCAATTGTCAAAGTCACCATTATTCTTATACCTTCTATGGTATTTTAGAGGATATCAATAATTTATTGCTAGCTTTACAATATACACTTTCTGAGTGTTTGTATGATACCTTCATGGTATTTAGCATTTCTTATTTTCTTTCTCTCGGGTCTACATCCACTTCAGGGATTAATGATGTTTTTTTAAGAATTGACTGGTAAATCCTTCATGGATTAAATCCTTCAAAGATGTTTTCATTCTTAGTGAATAATATTTCTCTTCTACGAGATATATTCTCTACTATACGAGATATTATTATGTGATATATACAATGTGATAGTTCTATTCACTTACAAAGTCACTCGATGACTATTCCTTCTAGGACATGCTCTTCTTGAGACTTTAATATTCAGGAATA